TGATACGTGTTTCACTAGTAATTAACATGTAATAGTTGTTGTTTATACATGTATCACTAGTAATTAACATGTAATAGTTGTTGTTGATACATGTTTCACTAGTAATTAACATGTAATAGTTGTTGTTGATACATGTTCCACTAGTAACTAACATGTAATAGAACAACAACTATTACATGTTAATTACTAGTGATACATGTATAAACAACAACTATTACATGTTAGTTACTAGTGGAACATGTATAAACAACAAGATACATGTTTCACTAGTAATTAACATGTAGTTCCTAAGATTTTAGTTTATTCTCTGAAGAAAAACAATAACATTTATTTGGATTTGATATTAAGCGCGACATTACACATGGGACAATCTGCACTGTGTACACTACGGGGAATCGAACCCCGAATCTTAGCAATGTACCTGTTCTAAAAAACAGATCTACTAAATTCAGAAAACTTTATGAAGTATATCATCAGCCGCACAAATAACAGGAGAGGAATATATTATGTTACCATTATTATCATTATGCTGTAGTTGTTAACACTGTTAACATTATGATGCAGGTGTTAACGTTATTAACATTGTGCTGTAGGTGTTAACACTGTTAACATTATGATGCAGGTGTTAACGTTATTAACATTGTGCTGTAGGTGTTAACACTGTTAACATTATGATGCAGGTGTTAACGTTATTAACATTGTGCTGTAGATGTTAACACTGTTAACATTATGATGCAGGTGTTAACGTTATTAACATTATACTGTTGATGTCAACACTATTAAAATTATGTTGCAGGTGTTAACGTTATTAACATTATACTGCAGGTGTCAACACTATTAAAATTATGTTGCAGGTGTTAACGTTATTAACATTATGTTTTTGAAGTTAACACTACTAAAATTATACTGCAAGTTTTAACCCTATTAACAACATGCTTTAGGTGTTAACGTTATTAACATTGTATTTTAGGTGTTAACAATATTAACATTATGCTGGAGTTGTTAACACTATTAAGATTATACTGCAGGTGTTAACATTACATTGTAGGTATAAACTTTGCAATGAAGATATTACTCCTTTTAAGCCTATGAAATATGTATTTGTGCTAGGTTAACACTTGTGCTGTTGTATTAACATCATACTGTAGGTGTTAACATTATACTGCACGTGTAACTTCTTCTAAGCCTATCAAATATGTATTTGTGCTAGGTTAACACTGGTGCTTTTGTATTAACATCATACTGTAAATGTTAACATTATACTGCATGTGTTACTTCTTCTAAGCCTATCAATTATGTGTTTATGCTAGGTTAACACTGGTGTTATTGTATTAAGAAAATGCTTCCTACGCAGCCACTCAACGCTTCTTTTTCAATCATCATATATAGTGTTTAGGGCTCTTTAGTTCACCGTCATGGTGTAATAATCGCAATGGCATCTATACCACAACAGATAACAACAATATTCAAAGCTATTAAGATAACACTTTGAAACGAATAACTTACCTTCGGAAGACTGACTTTTATTCCAAACATAAAACAACATAAAACCATAGTTTCTGAAATCTTTCATGTCCGCTTCTCGACAAACAAACAAAAACAGTCGAGCCCAACCCAAACCTCCACTCGATGCCATCTGAACTCGGCCAAATAGTTCTCCGGACAGCCCCGTCTCTACCTGTACACAGTGTGCAAAGAACTGGCTTGCCCACGTAAGCACGTGGCATTGCCCTGGCGCCAGTTGGTTCGGGAATGTATGCGTTGCCTGCGGCAGGGCTTGTAACCGGTGTACCTCTGCAGGGTCAGGTTCGTGCCACTCTCAGAACCAATGCTTCTACGTGACGGTTTAGTCTTGTCACTAGCTATCTGTCTATGCTAGCAGAACAGTAGGTCACCTCTGCCATCATCATTTTTGTTTCTCAACCAATCACACAGTTGTTACGTCACTCTGAAGCGTATTTGGTTCTACACCAGAGAAACAAATTTCTTTCATATTTAGAAAACCGTACAGTGATAGTGTAATGTTAATGGGTCAGTTCTTCTCGTCACTTCCTGGCGACAACTCATAACGTGATAGAATGTTCATTATTGATTTATGTTCATTAGTACTTACTGGGAAGATCTATTGTAATCTCTAAGAACAAAAAACGTTACATAATACATAGATGGATCTTTCTTGTACTAGTAACTAGTTGCTATCAGTAAGTAATCGTAAAGAGCATCTAACGATCTATTCACGGATACCAGCAACAGATTTTGTCATTGACAGGCAAAAAGAAAAATTACCTACACTAAACGTAATTTAAAGTATTAATTAGCCAATACTTCTAACCTGTGTTCCCACTAACTATCCTGTTGTTTTAACAAGTGTTCTTCTTAATTAGCCAATACTTCTAACCTGTGTTCCCACTAACTATCCTGTTGTTTTAACAAGTGTTCTTCCTAATTAGTCCATTACTTCTAGCCTGTGATCCCACTAACTATCCTGTTGTTTTAACAAGTGTTCTTCTTAATTAGCCACTACTTCTAACCTGTGTTCCCACTAACTATCCTGTTGTTTTAATACGTGTTCTCCATAATTAGCCAATACTTCTAACGCCAATATGACTATTAGTGTCAACATTTAGTATTACACTACTCCTTATCCAGCTTTCTACGTTTAACACCTCAATGTTGACACTAATAGTCATTCTGGTTTTTTGTAGTGTTAAACGTAGAAAGCTGGATAAGGAGTAGAACCAGAATGACTGTTAGTGTCAACATTGAGTATTACAGTGCTAAACGTAGAAAGCTAGATAAGGAGTAGAACCAGAATGACTATTAGTGTCAACGTTGAGTATTACAGTGTTAAACGTAGAAAGCTGGATAAGTAGAAGAACCAGAATGACTATTAGTGTCAATATTGAGTATTACTGTGTTAAATGTAGAAAGCTGGATAAGGAGTAGAACCAGTAAGACTATTTGTTTTATTTATTTATTTGTTGATGAAAATGACATAATGAGGATAACTGTATCGTTCTTTAAACTGTCTTTTATTTTTGATCTATTATTTAAGCACTTGATTTGATGTATAGTCATTAATTTGCATTGAATTACCACCAGAGGTGTTTAAATCTAATAGGCTTACCTACTAATCTTTTCAATATCTTCGAATTAATTTACAAAAATTTCCGAAGTTTTCCACCGAAACGGAATGGGTAGTCCTCTTTCAGAATTTATTGTTGTGCAATCTATAACGACCAGAGTGCTCTGGTATGTTTTGAATTTATTGAACTCACTGTATTTTGCCAAAGAAACTTCTGAACCGCAGCAACGTGACTCTTACGGTTTAAAACAATTCTTTTTCTACCCAGAAGGTCATCTCGCTGTAGAAATTACAAACATCTCGATATTTGCACATAAAGCAGAGTGTTGAATTCAAAAGCACGTTCACTGCGCAGGTTAAGCTTGATACATTAATGACGCCATCTCGTGCTACTTTTAGTGTTCGTTCAGTTATGGCTAAAATAGTAAGATACGAACAGCTCTCCAATTGTTAGAAAGGTATAAAACTATATTAGGATAAGAATTGACCCTCAGCTGTTATAAACATATAAGAACTATAGTATGATAAGAACTGTCTCTCAGCTGTTATAAAGATATAAAACTATATTAGGATAAGAACTATCCCTCAGCTGTTATAAAGATATAAAACTATAGTAGGATAAGAACCGTCCCTCAGCTGTTATAAAGATATAAAACTATATTAGGATAAGAACTGTCTCTCAGCTGTTATAAAGATATAAGAACTATAGTATGATAAGAACTGTCTCTCAGCTGTTATAAAGATATAAGAACTATATTAGGATAAGAACTATCCCTCAGCTGTTATAAAGATATAAGAACTATATTAGGATAAGAACTATCCCTCAGCTGTTATAAAGATATAAAACTATAGTAGGATAAGAACCGTCCCTCAGCTGTTATAAAGATATAAAACTATATTAGGATAAGAACTATCCCTCAGCTGTTATAAAGATATAAAACTATATTAGGATAAGAACCGTCCCTCAGCTGTTATAAAGGTATAAAACTATAGTAGGTTAAGAACCATCTTTATAACAGCTGAGGACAATTCTTATCCTACTATAGTTTTATATCTTTATAACAGCTGAGGGACAGTTCTTATCCTACTATAGTTTTATATCTTTATAACAGCTGAGGGACAGTTCTTATCCTACTATAGTTCTTATATCTTTATAACAGCTGAGGGACATAAGAACTATAGTATGATAAGAGTTGTCCCTCAGCTGTTATAAAGATATAAGAACTATAGTAGGAAAAGAACTGCTCACTTCAGCTGCTAAAAAGATATAAGAGATATAGTACGATAGGAACTGTCCCCTCAGTTGTTAGAAAGATACGGGAACTATAGTAGGATAAGGATTGTCCCTCAGCTGTTATAAAGATATAAAACTATAGTAGGATAAGAGCTGTCCCTCAGCTGTTATAAAGATATAAGAGTTATAGCAGGATAAGAACTGTCCCCCAGCTGTTATAAAGCTATAAAACTATAGTAGGATAAGAGCTGTCCCTCAGCTGTTATAAAGATATAAGAGCTATAGTAGGATAAGAATTGTCCCTCAGCTGTTATAAAGATACAAAACTATAGTAGGATAAGAATTGTACCTCAGCTGTTATAAAGATATAAGAACTATAGTAGGATAAGAACTGTCCCTCAGCTGTTATAAAGATATAAGAACTATCGTATGATAAGATCTGTCCCCTCCCTCCATGATAGAAACATATAAGAGCTAGTGCTACGTGAAAATTTACACAGACTCAAACGTGTAAGAATAATTTATTAGATGGTTTTTACATGAAATTTCGACCAGTCCAACTTCTGTCCTATGAAGGCTAATTGGACAAAGTAACTTAACTGGTGACAACCTGGGCAATTATGAGCTGACCATGGGATCTATCCCTGACTAAGCAAAAAACTATTGCACGACTGCGTCTGTCAGATCAAAGTAAAAAAGCATTTTCGAAATGCAATAGAAGCAACATAAATGTACAACAGAGGTCAAGAAAAAGATTTGTAAAATGTTTCTAGAACTGTAGAAATAGTGGCAACATAAATGTACAACAGAGACCAGGAAAAGGATTTGTAACATGTGTCTGTAACTGTAGAAATATTGGCAACATAAATGTACAACATAGATCAAGAAAAGGATTTTTAACATGTGTCTATAACTGTAGAAATAGTAGCAACATAAATGTACAACAGAGGTCAAGAAAAGGACTTGAGACACGTGTTTAGAACTGTAGAAATAGTAACAACATAAATGTACAACAGAGGTCAATAAAAAGATTTGTAACATGGGTCTAAAACTGTAGAAATAGTAGCAACATAAATGTACAACAGAGACCAAGAAAAGGATTTGTAACATGTGTCTAGAACTGTAGAAATAGTAGAAACATAAATGTACAACAGAGGTCAATAAAAGGATTTGTAACATGTGTCTATAACTGTAAATATAATAGCAATGTGGATTTAGATAAACGTCAAGAAGAGGACTTGTAACACGTGTCTAAAACTGTAAATATAATAGCAATTTGGATTTAGATAAACGTCAAAAAGAGAACTTGTAACACGTGTCTAAAACTGTAAATATAATAGCAATGTGGATTTAGATAAACGTCAAGAAGAGGACTTGTAACACGTGTCTAAAACTGTA